TCCGTATATATTTCTGTATATTTCGATACATGAAAAGGCGGCCTTGTCTATTCAGTCACCAAGATTCTGACCTAAAGCACGGTGGCGACAGCTCATTGATCTCTCCAGAAGCAAACAGAGCCCCTCAGATGCACCCGCACTGACGGGCTGGACGGCAGCAGGCGCGCCCGCGGCAGGAGTCTCGCGTGAACGCGCAGGCCGGAACGACGAGGGAAAGGGCAGGACTCATCTCGAAATTAAGCTATTGCAACTGGCTTGTAAAGGACAACCTCCACATTCTTCAGTCGCTTTCTCTCTTAAAACTTTAACAAGACACGGGTAACGGTATTAAATAAAACACCTACTCATTTTCCACATCTCCTGTTCTCCTGTGCCAAATTTGAACATAAATGGGTAGAATTAAATGTAGCCTATGGCTTACCTACCATAATTACATGTTGTGTTTTACACTGCTTCGAAATGGATACATTAAAATAATCCCGTCTTGGCTCCTACCCGCTAAAGTCAACAAGGCCTAGCGAGGCCAAGGGCCGTGGAAGGCGTGGCCACCCCAGCCAGGACCAAGGAACTGTCAAGACAGGAAATGCCATTCAAGACATAAAAAAGCCACCAGGATCTACTCTTCTCCTGGGGAAAAAAAAGGCAATGAAAAAAGCATGAAGACATTTCTCTCCAGTATAGAAATCATTGGTACTTCTGCAAATGTTTACTCTGGAAACTCTTCTAGAATATTTCCACAGGATTATACCAAATTGAGCTTTTTTTTTTCTTTAAGGTCAGAAAGAAATGAATAAATGTCATCAATTTAAAGGACACCACCCCTAGCATTCTTTTCTGCCTCGCTGTGAATTCGATAGTGTTCAACATTTTCCAGGTGAAATGAATGTCAGTGTCGCCGAGTGCGACGCGGGCCCCGGAGACAGCGGTCTCTCCGCCGCATCTCGGCCGCGGCCAGGCTTCCGCCTCACGGGAGGTTTCAGCTTTTCACATTTCTCCTCACCCGGCAGCAAAGCTCGCAGGGCTCCTTTCAAATGGTAACTCGCTTATCCTGAGGAGTCTGCTCAGAATACAGTGATCTTGAACGTGGGGTGGTGGGTTGGTTTAGAAAAAATAAAATACAAATATTTGAAGAGTGCTACAGCGGTCTCACGCCTTCCTGAACAGACAGCGGAGGGAGAGGAAAGGTTAGGCTACGTTCCTGGTTAGAAGAAAGCGCCGTGTTGCTTTGGGGTTAATTCAGGAGGCAATATTCAAGGAAAATGTGATATTTTATCAGAATGCCATTCAAATCGAAGGTCTAACATTTCCATCACAAGAGCATGCACGGAGCAATCTGTCCTCGGGAGGGAACTGGCGAGAACACACAGTGCGACAGGAACGGGGCCGCTCGGTCGGGGCACGGGCGGCAGAGGCTGGGGAATCGAAGAGACCGCTGACTCAACTTTCTGAAATATGTGACTGGTTATGACACGCGAGGCGGTTACCGTTAATGGCAGGAACGGGGTTTCCGAGCTCATTCTCCATTCTTCTTCTCTAGCCTACCTGAGACCACACCTTCCAACCACAAAGTGAAAATAAGAACACAGACAGAGCCACAGAGCAATTACAACGCCAGTCTCTTCGCCGAGACAAGGGCTGTCGAAGGTTGTGTTACTCATAAGCAGAGGGGAAAAGTAATGTGCATATTGCCTGAGGTTTTTTGTTTTATTTTCTCGCCAAAAGAGATCAATGCCATGTTGGGGAACAGACAAAAGACATTAATTAGAGAAGTCTTTCCACCACACACATGTGACTTGCGATTCAAAAAACAAAAAGCATAAAGATAAAGAAGAATCATTTGTCTAAGAGGATAATAATTTTTAGTAATATATTCCCTGGAAGCCATGTGAATGCGTTCAGAAATGCTGTTTAGATTAGCCTAATTCTATAGAATCCAAATGTGCACCAAACTCTGTACTTTTTATGTTAAATTGCTGTTGAATTTGTTAACCCACAACTGATTTCCTGTGTTATGGAATCTTGGAGATTACAGCTAACTTGGAGCAACAGGGATAATTCTTGACAGTTAGTGGTACATTTGTATGCATTTTCCTGAAAGGCTCTCATCTGGGGGCCTCAGACTGGTAGCTCAACATTGCCCCCTACTGCTTGCAACTGAAAAATAGGAGGTGGGCTTGGTGCAAAGGAGGAATCGAACCGGCCAGTGCCAAGTGCACTAACACCAGATGGTCCCGCACAAACAGAACCACAGAGGCATGCACTTTTCCAGTGACTATTCTCTTCTGGCTCCCCCAATCGCAAAAATAAATTATTATGAATTTGTTCAAAGTCATTAAAAAAGGCTTGAAGCAATGCTTAAATTTAATTTAGAAGTACTATCCCTTTTATCTTGGCCCAAACCTTCAGTCTGCTGATAGTGATCGTCCGGAGGCTTTGCTGCGAGACACTGAGGCCATTCATTCTGCTCAGAACACTTAGTAACGCCACACCGACGGCAGGCAAGCTCCCTCTGGAGAGTTCCCAAGACTGCTCTTCTTTCTGGGTATTTTTTACATGAGCGTTATAAAGTAAATAGAAGATATTCTACCTCATGTGCCATCGCCACCAAATTTTAAGAAAACACAAACATTATAAATAAATCTCTCAAATGAATTCACAATGAACATCACTGGCAAGCTCACACTAACAAAGATTTCACTTTTTTTCCTTTAACTTGAATAAAAGCAACTGAAAAACATTTTTTTTTTTTATCCTCACCCAAGGACATTTTTCCATCTTTTGTTCAGACAGAGTGGGAGGGAGAGAGAGAGAGAAAGAGAAACATCGATGTGAAAGGGACACATCAAGTGGTTGTCACCCACACAACCCAACCAGGGCCGGGGACAAACTGCAGCCGAGGTATGTGCCCACAGCAGGAACCGAACCCGGGTCTCTCTGGACCGCAGGCCGACGCTCTAACTGCTGAGCCAAACTGGCCAGGGCCTGAAAAACATTCTTAACAAAATCAGTGAGTTCTGTTCATATTTGTCTGTCAATTCTAATTCACAGCGTTGTCAAATTACAATCTTAAAGTCAAGCTGACATCTTCAAGTCAAGGTTCAGCAATTAAAGAAGTTCAAACTCAGATGTAAATGGACAAAACCAGAATTGGGGGCGGGGAGATGGCTGGAAATTGAAGTTGCCTTTACATATCCATCCCATAAAAGTGGAGCACACCCTGAACAGGCTAAGTTTAGGAACAGAACGAACGGAGGAGACGTAGGCACGGACTTTTCATTACCTCCAGCTCGGGCTGACGATGCTCAGCTCGCACTGACTCATTTCTACGCAGGACTCCCTTTCTGGACACTCTCGGTGCTCTACAAGGAGGGTTCAGCATTCCTCCCGCGGACACACAGCCAGGAAAAGCATGGTTTCAGAGTGGAGGAGACGTCTGGAAAACAGGGACTTCTGCATCCTGACCCAGGCTTTTCACCCAGGGCCTCTCCAGGGCTGTGACTTGACATTTTCATTAGGATAAAATGGAGATGAGCAATAGCTACCCGTATTTGCAGATGAGCTCACCTTCCAGCACATTTCAAAGTCTGCGCAGTGCTGCTCTCTCAAGAGTTCAGCAGGCTTTTATCACTTTCCCACCACGCTCCAAATTCAACTGTTTGGAGGCGGAAGGCCAGGACCCTGGAGCTGGCGTTCCTGAGTTCAAATCCCAGCTCCCCGCTTACGGTGATGACCTGGAGGAAGTGATGTAGACCTTTTGTGCTTCAGTCTCCTCATTTGTAAAACAGGGAGAATAACACCTACTTTATGGGGTTGTCCTAAAAGTAAAATAAGTTATGTATAAAGCATTTAGAATAGTGTCTGGTACTTAGTGTCATGGAAGTATCTGTTCTTATTACTACTAGTTAAATTAAGACTCACTTCAAGCCCTCCATGTGGCCTCTACACCTTCCAGCTACATTTCCTGTCACGTCCCCTGAATTCCTGGGCTCATCAACTCCCTCAATTCTGATCTTGTATATACACTTCCTAGAGCCTAAATTCCTCTCCAAGTGCCCTATCCAACCCTACTCTCCCCAAAGGTCCCCAAAAGCCACATCTGATGCTTCACAACAGTCCCAGCTCCAGTGGTCCGAATTTAATACGCCTTGCTCTGGACCGTGATTTTCAACAATCTCTACTACAGAGTTTCAGGTAAGCTAATGTAACACCTGGCGGCACTCGGGTCTCCCTCCTTGTTGAACTGAAGGCCGTGGTTACACGCACAAGCCATGGAGCCAGACGGGGCTCCGCCTCGCCATGCCACTTGCTGGGGCCCCTGGGCAAGGCGCTCACTCCTTTGCCTTGGCTTGCACATCTGTGAGTGAAGACTCATCACAGTTTCCGCAGCTCACAGGACTGTTGTAAGAAGTTTAAAAGTTAATAGCGGGCTCTGGCCGGTTTAGCTCAGTGGTTAGAGTGTCAGCCTGCAGACCAGAGAGTCCGGGTTCAGTTCCCGCTAAGGGCACGTACCTCGGTTGCAGTTTGTCCCCGGCCCCAGTTGGGGTCGTGTGGGTGGCAACCACTTGATGTATCTCTTTCACATCAATGTTTCTCTCTCTCTCTTCCCCCCTCTCTCCCTGAAGATAAATGCACACCAAAAAAAAGTCCTCAGGTGAGAATAAAAAACAATTTTTTTTAAAAAGTTAACAGTAGGAAACCCCTTAGAATAATGCTGGTGCACACAGAAATGCAGATAAATTGTAGGTATTGTTACATTGTTCTCCCCTCATTGTTACTTCCTGGAGCATCTAACACAGCGCCTTATATGTACATGTTCAAAACATGTTCATTCCACTGAACCGAGGTCATAGTGACAAAATCCTGGCTGTTCCATCACCTTACTGAAAGTGACCGAACTCCATAATTCAGAATAGTTACATATGCATTTACCTATGCAGATTAGGCAGCAGAGATTCATACAGCACTTTCCCGGAAACGGGTCCCGGACACCCCGTACTCACCACACCTTCCATCTTCCTCCACATTTCTTCCAGCTGAGTCATGGGCTGACACCACCAGTCAGTACACTTTTCGTATCGATTCCCTTGAAACCAAAACTGTCTCAGCCACTCGAACTCGACCTGTGGACCGTAGAGACCAGGTGGTGGTTACAACGCCCTCGTGACGGCCGATCAAGGACGATGACATCATCACTCAGTTCTCCTCCAGTAGCTTCACAGCCAGAGGATGAGAGAAGGCGAGAGGCTCAGCCTAACCAGGTCCAGTCTAACCTGGAGTCCCCAGAGCATGTGTGCGAAGTTGAGGAAAGAGTCAGCTTCACGCTCAGTGAGACGACCAACTCAGGCTGGGGAGGGATTGGGAACCACATGTATCAGCTGAAGTCAATCAACAACAAATACTGAGATCCTGAAGTATAGAGCAGCCGGCACTGTGTGTGACGGGAAAGATTCAATCAAACAAAGTATGTTTTTATTGATATCTGTATTAGAGATTAGCAGTAAGAGCAAAATACAAACACGTGTTAGAAGATCTCAATTTTAAGTTTCTTAGATTTAAAATAAATAAAGAATTTCACTGTGGGCCAGGAGGAGCTGGTGATGATGTCAACCCATACAACTAAACAACATAAAGGTAATTAGAGGCATGCACACATTAACCCCCCGGAGCCGGTCCAATCCTGCTTTTCACCTTAGGGCAAATGACACCGAAGAGGAGCAAACTCACTAGCCACGCCCTTTCCTTCCTAGGACCCCACAAGGATAAACCTATACTGTGTCCTCAGCAGTCCTCCTTCCATTCTACCCACCCCAGCTACAGACCAGGCAGCCCACCCCGCCCCGGTCTCAGGGCACGTGATCTGGGCAGAGCTGCAGCCCTAATACCAGGGCTCAGCCCACCACATTCCTCTGGTCACAGAACTGGACAGGGGGGACTAGGCCTGTGTGGAGTCAGAACAAGTCTTGAGACTGCAGACTGTCAGAAGAACAGGAAGAGGATTCGGCAGCCATCCTGCTGAATGGGAAGAACGGAGGCAAGAGAGTCGGAATGAACGGATCAAAACCAGGGCCTGGTAACATCAACTGACTCTTGATCAAGCTATTGCCAATGCCCTTTTTTGTTGAAACCAATTCAGGTTGTGTTTTCTGTCCCTGCCACTGAAACAATCCCCATATATGTACACGAGAGGTTAAGATAAGCTTTGTAAAGATAAGAAATGGTTTCCCATCTATTTCCCAGGTCTCCTCTCACAGATCTTCAAGTAGAAAATCAAATTTTACCATCAAAGTACAACTCCATTCATTCCCCAAACTCTTCTTACCTCCACCCTCTAAAGAGACTTTCAGAGCTTAATGTTGGGTCAGCTGGCTTTGCAGAAATAATCATGTTCCATATACACGCACAGAGCTACTACAATTGTCACCTGCTGCCACAAAGAAATTTTTGTTTGTTTATCCATATTGAACTTTCATGAAGCAAACAAAAGCAACTTGTGAAAAGTTAACAATGGCGAAAATGGCTCAAATAACTAAGCTGAGAACACCAAGTCATGAGAAAGGGTTTGAGTTCACATTAACTAAATGTTTGTTTGATATGTAGAAGTGATTTCAGTTAAAGCTGTTTAAGCAAACAAACAAACAAAAGAATATAGACAATGTTAAGACAATAGTTGCTAAACCTTACCTCTGGGATTAAAAGACCGTGGCCAGCAGAAGTAAACCTGACTGCTTTGAAAGCAGAATAAAAATACAAGTGTATATGGTTCAAGTTCTCTGAAGGTACAGTTTTAACAACATTGTTTACTACAAGAAAATAAAGAGTTCTGTTTAATAGAGTTGACATGAAATTGGTTCACACCATAGAAATAGACTGTCAGCAAAACACCAAGCCCTGTGTTAGGGAGAGTGGAAAAGTTTTAAAGTTTTTGTATCTTTGGGCTGGTTATTTCCATTGATTAGGACAAAACATGTAAGTCTTGGCAACCATGATATCCCAGAAAATAAAGTAGATGATCATATGTATGTAGTTCATTCAATCTATCAGGGTACACAAGAGTCTGGATTTCAGTACATTAAAACTCAGAAGCAAGGAGAGGGGCATACCTGGAGACAGCTAGCAGACAAGAGCAAAGAAAGACCCTGTCCTTTTCAGTAAATGAGGATTTCACCTTCCTGCTTAGATGTGTACCTATCTTTCAAGGCAAACAATGCCATCATTCAGAATAAGGGCCCTGGAATCCATTCAAAACTGGCAGCAGTACTGAACAGCCCCCTATCATCTATAAAACAGAGATAGCTGCATAATAGCCACATCGGTTTGCGGTGAGGATTAGGTGGGTTAACGACGATAGTAACGTCCCACCAGATGCACTTGCTGGATGCTGAGACCAGGAAGTGAACAAGGCCACAAGGCCTAGAACTTATTGTCTTTGAGGATCTCGCCATCATATTTCCTGAGAAGAAAAATCTCTAAGGTCCATGTCCATTCATGTCCACTCCTCTCTCTGGCCAGCTAGAAAAGTTCAACACTGAGGACTTAGTCCCAGCAGAGTTCCGCTCTTGAGTGAAAGTATGCCCATGAGATACCATCTTGGGGAGCATCAGATCCACTGGCATGCGTTTTATTCTTCTCCATAACCTGACCTTTTCATTTCAGTATTGTGGGCAAAATATTATAGGATTGTAATCAAATGCCACTCTCACCAGTTCCCTCATTGCCAAGAGAAGTAGTTGGCTCCTTTCTTAAAATTAATTAAAGACGGAAAAAAATTCCAGCTTCTTGCTTCAGAGTTGAAGTTACAAAAAAAGGAAGAAGGAAAAAAAAAAAAAAGCTGGGTTGTCTGCCCCCTCAAGCCCTGGGGATAAGAAAGGAGGGCCATGGGGTGGACCCTGCATGACAGCCAAAGGATGAGGACTCAGAATAGAATGGGGGCCTTCCTTCAGGGCTCCAAAAAATTAGTCTAATCACATCGACAGGCGGTCAAGTTCTAGCCAGGACCGGAAGAGGATCTATCCCCTCCCCAGAGCCTGGACCCTCGGGAAGGCTCCAGCCATGAGAGCAGGAATAAGAGACAAGCCGTCAGAAGGGGAGCTGCTGACAGTGGCCAAGGAACCCTCCATGGGTTATGGTGATCCCCAAAGATGTGGGCAGCGGGGAGACCACAACCAAGAGCTCTCTTGAGGCTCTTACAGGTCATGATGCTGATCAACCAAACGCCCAGGTTTCCATCCTGCACCTAATGGAAGTTCCCTAGAATGCCCACAGGTATCAGAAGGATCTTAAAGGACCTCTGAGTCATCACAGGAAAATGAAAACATGTTCATAATGCTGTTAATTTCATAGCTGTGACCCATAAACCCATCTCTATAATCCTCAGAACTATCCCTCACCTGCCTTCTCTGTGGAATACCAAAAACAGAGACCAATCAAGGAAAGCTTTTGTCCTAGAAATGTCTAGGAAAAGTCTGAAGGGGAGGAGGAAACAGAATGCACCCACCCACCTGAACATTCTTGGACCTTGGACACTTAGGCATTTGGAAAGCGAAGCCTAGGAGATTCTGAAATCATATTTCTGAGATTCTACATCACCGTGCATTACTCTTACAAATCACCGTGCAAATCATCTCCATTACCCTTACAAGTAAGCAAATGCCGCCTAATTTTTCTTCTGCCAAGTTAGTGTGGGCTCTTGATTTGATCCCAGGTCAGCTCATGGAGTTCCTTCATGAGATGTGTGAACATGGCCAAAGGTGTCAACAGCTCATTATAATCACTGAGAAAGACCTTAGACCAGGGAGCCATGCTAAGGTCCCATCTACAAAGAGCTACCCTATGAGGACCTTTCACAATAGCTCTGATCAGAACAAAACGAGAACCGAAGGATGTCACTGAATGACACATGCCTCTGGGGGAAACTGGCTAGGGAAAGAGGCTAGATTCTACATTTCACATTTTCAAGAAGGAAAACAAATTATTCAAGAACACAGAGGGAGATTCTGCTTATAACAAAAATCTTTTCTAAGCATCTAAGTTAGAAAAAATATATATATCTTCTTGTGGATTCCGTTCCAATCCCAAAGTTCCCACATTGCTTAGTTAGAAACCATCCAAGACAAGGAAAACAAGCCACTTCTAAACCCACACAGCCTGAAAGCCTGCAGCACATAAAACCAAGGACTTCACCCTATAATTAGTCCAGCAAAGGCACATTGCCTTTAAGAAAGGGCAGAGCAAACAAGGAGGACCCGTGGTGACTACGATGGACATTCATGCTTTAACAACAGGACACAGCAGAGTCTAAGTCTTCGCATGCTTAACCCCAGCCAACTTGGACAGTGAAAGAACAGTGTCTGACGACGTGCCCTGTCATATGGATTTAGTTCCTAAGTAAGGAGATGACCTTAAAGAATCAAAGATTGGAGGATGGGGAAGACTGGAACGCACGCTATTTCGATCCAGGTTCTCTCTCCCCATTCAGGCACAGGCTAGCCTCAGGGACTAAGGTCTCTGCTCCATTGCTAACATATGCAATGTCAAAAGCAGCCATCTACTTTCTGAAGCAAATGTACTCAGATGACAATATTCTAGATAAACAGTATGTTTTTTGTCGATTTCTCCCACCCATTGATGATAGCAAAACATCAGAGTCACAGACGAAGACCAGAAGGACGGGGAAGAAAACAGTCCAGGTGCATGGTAATGAGAGCATCCATTCTGCCAGCTCAACTCCTAAACTTGCAAGGTTTTTAGAGAAGGAAATAGCTGCACTTCTGTGTGAGAATTTCTTCACTACAAATATTGACAAAGATATAACTGTGCTCCCAAGTCTAATTCAGTGAGGTCGCCAGGCCCATAAACGCTTATTATTCCCACAGTTCTAGCTATAAGCAATGTCTGGCAAGGACAGATGGGAGAGAACATGGGACACTGGTCAGATACAGTGAAGGAAAGAAAGTCAGTCGTGGTTTGGCTTAGCATTGGAAGTGGTTATTGTTGCCTTTGGGTCTACAAATTATGGCCATGTTTCACAAACTGTGGGGAAGCTCACAAGACGTTAAATATCTTTTCTTTAATATGTTTTTTCATTGATTTTTAGAGAAAGAGGGAGAGAGAGAGAGAGATAGAAACATCAATGGGAGAGACAAATGGATTGGCTGCCTCCTGCACACCCCATACTGGGATCGAGCCCATAACCTGGGCATGTGTATCCTGACCGGGAATTGAACTGGTGACCTCTTGGTCCGTGGGTCGATAATCAGCCAACTGAGCCACACCAGCAGGGCTAAAGATACTATATTCCATTGTTTCTCCTCTGCTCAAAATCCCTAATGACTCCCCATTTCCTGCAGGTAAAAAGGGAAGTCCTTGTCCCCTCCAGAGACCTTCAAACCTTTAGGTACCATCTGTGTGACCTCATCTCCTATAAGTCACAGCCTCACTCCCACCACTCAAATCAAACTATGCCTTAACTAATCATGAACAGAGTCTTCACCCCGGTTGGTCCCTCTACCCAAACTGTTCCTCAAATATCCACCAGGCTTACTCCCTCACCTACTTCAAGTCTCTGCTCAGAGGATGTCTTCTCAGTGGGATGTTCTCTACTGATTTTAATCTCTATCACCTTCCTCTGACTGACTGGATTTTTACAAGCATCTAACATACTAGATAATTAACCAATGTGTTTAGTTGATTATTTATTGTCGCCTCCATGCAAGAGAACATCTTTTTTTTTTTTTTACCTGTGTATCCTAGAGCACCCAGAAGAGTGTCTGGCACAGGTTCCATTATTATTTGTTGAAAAAAATGAATGAGAATATTTCTGTATTCCAAATTCTCCATCAATCCTTCCAATTATACCAAAGAGAACGTCTCAGACTGCTGATGACTTTCAACAGTTCTCTTCCATTTGGTAAATTCTTTTCTCCTTTCAGTCATTTTTATTGTTTGTTTTGTTTTGTTGTTGTTTTGTTTTGTTTTGCGGTATAATTTGCCCAATATAAAATTAACCCATTTCATGTGTAGAATTCAATGACATTTAGAAAACTTCTCAAGGTGTGCCCTAATTTCCCTTCTTAACAGAATGAATAAAGGCTCAGAGCCTTCTCTCAGCAAGACCAGCAGCTGGAATTGAGTAACACTGCTCTGTTTTCACTGGTTATATTTTTCTGGTTACTTTTCTTTTGGCTAGTGATACTGGCTTTCCACTTACAGTGGTAATATAAAGTTTCCTTCTTAAAGAAATGTATTTATATAGAAATGAGTTGATTTAGACAATGGATTAAATAGATAAAAATATATGTAGTCCAAAGATGAAGAACAATTGAAAGGTTACTAATGAGAACAGTAAAGTTTGCAAAACTGACCGGTGGGATCCAGATCTGTGGGTCTCACGAACTGCAGAATTAGAACTAATAAGCAAAAAGCAAGTCACTGACACTTGCTTCTAGGGTCCACCCTCAATTCCCATCAGATCCATTGGGAGACTGTTCTTCATGGGTCTATTGTGTTTCTGTACTGTAAGCAAGAAAATGTCCTTTGTTTCAGACTCTCATTGCAAGGATCTTTGTATAGTGAACAGCCTTGAAACATATAGTTTCTTCCTCCAGAACAAAGGGCAGGTTTGCCAAAAGACTTAGAGGATAAAGATAGTGTCTTGAATTGTAGTCAAGGACAGAGTTGCTTACTGCCTATTATAAAAGATTCAGGTTCCCTTAGCTTGGGTTCCTCTCCTATAATGCAACCCCTCCATGTGCACATGCTATCTGGTCCACCTTACATTGTCCCGTGGAAATAGAGGTTTAGAGAACTGGCACAAAAATGTTGATACTCTGGCTACTGCTACTGTTGTAAGTAATAAAAACTGTCCTTTGTCTCTGGGAGTCCCATATCTTACATTCATATGAAACTATGGCAGATTAACTTGTAATTTGCAAATAGGGAAGGATCTCAGACCCTTCACAATTCTTCAAAATCCTCACCTCATTGTGGATTTCTTCTCCTTGTTTCAAAACTGCAGGCTCCAAGGACTTCAGTGAGACATCGCCACTGTCTTTCACATCACAGACATTCTGCAGAGCCAACTGGCAGCGCTTTAGGATGTAATCCAAGGTTCCCGTCGAGCACTGCAAAGGGAACCAGAAATACAGATTATAAGCAAATTCCAAGTTTGCCATGCCTCTTCCTAGAACAGTTCACATTTGTCCCCTTTCTGTACATTCACCTGTCACCCTCACAACTCAGCCTATACTCTTGAACTTAAGAATTATTGCAGTGGCCTGCCCACTGACCTCTGTGCTACCAGCTTGACCTCACCTGGGTCACTGATCTTGCTGGTTTTCTCTTATTATGTAGGCCTCATGTTACTAACTAAAAAGTAAGCTCCCTTGCCCTGGCCAGTTAGGCTCAGTGGTTAGAGCGTCTGCCCACGGACCAGTGAGTCAAGGATTTGATTCTGGCTAAAGGGCACATACCTCGGTTGCAGTTTGTCCCTGGCCCTGGTCAGGGTCGTGTGGGAGTCAACCAGTCAATGTGTCCCTCTCACGTGAATGTTTTTCTCTCTCTCTCTTTCTCTCTCTCCCCCCTCCCCCCTCCCTCCCACTCTATCTGAAGATAACTGGAAAAGTATCCTTGGGTGAGGATTAAAAAAAGTAAGCTCCCTCAGGCTAAGACACTATCATGTATATGTAGAATATGTAAATACTTATATATTATAAATATATATTTATATGTCCTAAACGTAAAAGAAAGTTAATAAGTAGTTATTGGATGAATAACTAATCAACCAAGAAGTCAAGGACACCGACTTTATCTCCAGTGCCCTGAACCTACTCTGGGAAAGAAAGGTACCAGAGTGTAGAATTGGTCCAAAGGTGCACAAAGTAAAACAGTGATGGAGAAAAAAATTGAAGTTATAAACACAGGGCAAGGAACTCACTTTCCTTTCTTGTAACTGCAGTCCTTGGCAGAACAGATTCTTCAAATAATGGGGACTGTGTGGCTGATGCCCTCAAGGCCCGTCCAAAGGCATGACTTAGAACTGGGTATCACAAGGGCATAGATAACTAGATCATCCCTTTCTAGTGTGTGGGAGCAAAACAAGTCAAATGGACATATTCCTGCTTTGAATGGTCACATGTCAGAAAAGGAGAGGATGCAGATGGTTGGTGCATGTGTTTGTTTAGATAATGACATGATTTCCTAGAATGATAAACATCAAGCTATAAATACTCTTTAGACCAAATGAAGAAAATACATCCCTAAAGTATTTTTATTTTAATATTTGTCATTTCAACTGATCTCTTAGAAATAACATTTAAGGCTAATCTCCTGGTGCAAAAATTCTTTGTACAGTTACTGCCATTTTGTACAATGTGACATGGAAAAGCCTGGGAAAAACAAAGTTTCTGTGCCAAAAACAGAAGCTTGACTGATATGTATTAAGTATGAGGATCTCCAAGTGCTAGAAGCACATGGGAAAACAGCTCCAAGCTGCTACCAAGAAAAAACAAAAAATGGGATTGAACTTAACCTGTTTAAAACTGCATGAACTACTGTCTTCCCCGATGTCTTAGATCGCTGTTTCTACTAATGGTAATGTCATCCCCAAATCACCCACACTTGACACCCAGAGTCATCTAAGAGCCTAGCACATAGAAAGCATCCAATAAAGAGTTGATTCGTTCATTTGTTCCTTCTTTCTCTCTCTCTCTCTCTCTCTCTCTCTCTCTCTCTCTCTCTCTCTCTCTTTCCTTCTCTCGTTCTCTCTTTCTTTCTTTCATTGTTCCCGCCACTTTAATCGGTCAGTTGCCAACTCTGACACTATGTTTCCTAAATTAGTCATGGGAATTTCTTCTTTTTCCTACTGCTACTACCTTAGTTCAGATCCTGACAGGTTTAATTGATGTCTCTATCATATTTATCTTCCTAAAGATATCTCCAATATGTCACTACCAAGATCAATAATCAATATCCCATCTGCCAATCAACTTAAGTTCAGTCACGTAATCTGACATCCAAGGTCCAGCACTCTGGTCTCACTCAGGAACCAGCTTTACCTGCTAACACTGCCTCTAGGGCATCATGGTGTCCAGTTCAGTGCAGCCACTCAGTACTCCCCGGGAATCTCCACCCCATCCTAATCATGAGCTTCCCTCCTGAGTCCTCACCCATTAGCTGTCCTCAACTGTCCTGAAGTCCCTCACTCCTCTGTGTTGAAGTCTTAGTGCCACCTCACCCATGGAGCCTCATGCTGTTTGTTGGCTCTATTCTGCACTACAGCCTGAGGGCACAAAAACTGTAAGCAGTTGGAGGGCACCAAACATGTCAACCGTTCCTCTTCATGGAGTTATTTACAATAACCAAGATATGGAAGCAACCGAAGTGTCCATCAATAGACAATTGGACAAAGAAAATATGGTACATACACACAATGAACTATTACTCAGCCAGAAAGAATGGAATCTCACCATTTGCCACAACATGGATGGACATGGGGGGTACTATGCTAAGTGAATTAAGTTAGAGAAAGACAAATACTGTATAATTTCACATATTTGTGGATTCTAAAAAACAAAATAAATGAACAAACAAAACAGAAACAGACTCATAGATACAGAGAACAGACTGATGGTTGCCATAGAGGTAGGGGCTGAGGGGCTGGGTGAAAAAGGTGAAGGGATTAGGAGTACAGATTGGTAGTTAAAAAATAGTCACAGGATATAAAGTACAACATAGAGAATATGATCAATAATATTATAATAAGTATATATTGTGCCAGGTGGGTACTAGACTTACCAGGAGGACCACTTATTAAGTAATATAAATGTCTAACCTTTATGCTGTACACCTGAAACTAATACAATATTAAATGTCAACTGTAATTGAAAAATTAAAAAATTTAAAGAAAAGAATATGCTGGACACTGAAAAGTTCAATGAAAGTTTTCAGAATGAATGAACTAAAATTGCTTTCCTTCTTCTGCATAGTAATTTCAACCAACAGCAACTCTTACAATCAAGATTCACTGATCTTAAAGTCTCTTGCTTTATTATTTACCCTCTAATGTATAAATGGAGAAAGAACAGCAATCCACACACAGAGCTGTGGTTGTTCCTGTCTCCTATCAGCTTTTCATCAGGATAAATTTCAGCAGCGGTAATGTGATAATAATAGCAGTGGTTGACATTCTCTGAATACATACACTACACTAGCCCCTGTCCTAAAAGACTTACCTGTGTTAACTCATTTAATCCTCACAAGAACCCTATGAACTAGGTATGATGGTCATCCTCATCAAATACATTTTTTCAAACCTTGTATTCATCCTTTTGTACCAGCCCTCTGAGCACAGCACTAATCAGCTTGTCTACTCTGCCAGATTAAGATTTTAAAAGATGCAAGCGGATACACTTAAGTAGCCACACACTCAAACTGATCCAGAAGAAAAGAATTCTTGAGTGGTTACGGCTAGAAAAGACTGATACCTCTAACATCTCATATAAAAATGAAGTCTTTTTTGTATAGTACAAAGCACTTATTAGATGGTCTATGAATGTTTGCTCACTCTTTTCATTCCTTCACTTCTTCCTTTCTTTCTGACTTCCTGACAGAACTTATTTTTAGATCTCTAAGATAATGATTTTCATGTTTATTTGTGTAATATCTGTCTCTCCAACTAAAATACAAGTTCAACAAAGGTAGTGGCAATATTGCCGTGTTGATGGCTGTGTCTCTTGAGCGCGTGGTGCTGCTGGACACACACCAGGCACTCGCATATTTAGGCAAATGAGTGAAGGGACAAGAGAAGACAGGAGACAAGGAGAAAAGGAGGACGGAGTGCTTGATGGGTTTGTGGCGTCCTGACTGAGACACACTCCTGCCCTCCCTGCCACACCGCGGCATGGCCAGACCACCAGGACAGCTGCTTGATGGCCAGAAGGCATGGCGCTGCCTAACAGACCCACAGTCTCAGGACTGAAAGGTCTTGTGTTCCCTGCCACTTTGTCGTCCCTTCCGCCCCACGTTCTCATACTCCGGTACGATAGCAAAGTGCGTGCAACAAGCATAGAAACAGGTCAACTCGTAATCCTTGTCATGATCCCTCCTCTGTGCTCTGGATCCCTTCCTCCCAAAGCACATAGTTCCCCAGGGTGACTCCTAAGAGCTTCCTTCATCTCTTACGTTTCCATACCCAACTAGTCCAATCATCTGACCCAACTGCTCCAAGTGGTGGCAGTAACGTCTGGGTTAGAAACATGACTGGGGAGCTCAGAAATTCCTCCGTGCCACTGGAACTGCCCTTCATTTACATTCACATGGCCAGAAGCCTGACCAAAGTGAAGGGACATGTAAATTCTCGACCATCTGAGCCCAATCACAGCTAACGTATGCACAAGCACACAAATCCTCCCCATTTCCTCCTGGCCATCTCCTGCCTTTGACCTTGACAGATACAAACCCCTTAGAAAATCTCTAACTAGCAACACCTGCCAGTGGCACTTACCTTCTCCAAGAAACATAACCCCAAAGAAGCAAAATATACTTATCCCACGCTGTGAATATACTCTTTAAAACTATCCAACACAACTCAAAGCTAAAAAGCAAGTAAACAGAGACTAAAGTCAAGTTAGATGGAAGCAATTTTCCTATCAAATGCTCTTCCAAAGTTCTATGATAAATTGCTCATTCAACCACTTCTGTCACATCCAATTAAGTCTGAATCACATTTGTATTTACACTTACCTCTGCTACTCGGTGGGTGGAACTAAACCGAGGCGGTAAACCAGCCAAAACACAGTGCTGGTGGGTGGCATTGAGATCATCTGCAGGAAAAATACCAAAAATTAAAAATAAACCCACGTTCACGCGCGCGCACACACACACACACATACTTATTAGTCACTATATACTATTTAACTAAAATACAAAGTAAACAATAAATCCACCATTCAAAAAATGGCAATAACCAAAAATTAACCATTTGTATTCTTTAAGCCATCCTTTATAAATAAAATGATCAACAAAACCATGACACTTTCGGAAGTGGAACGGGACGTTATTAATAACTATTCCAGGACAGCAGGTGTACATCAGGACTGTCCTTAACAGCCAGGATGTATGGTTACCTTACTTACTACTTTAGTCTTATGATCCACTCCCCACAAAGTTAAAAATTCATGGATTGAACCTGAAAAGGCTACATATACTATAAGATTCCATCTACATAACATTCTGAAAAAGGCAAAACTGTAGCGACAGTAAAAAGACCAGTGGTTGCCTACAGCTGGGGATAGTGAGAAGAGGATGAACAGAAGGATTGCAGAAGTTTTTAGAGCAGTGAAACTACTATGTGTGACACCAAAATGGTGGACATATGTCACAATATATTATACATTTCCAAAATCTATAAAATACACAACACCAGGAGTAAACTCTAATATAATACAGTGATACCTCGGTTCTCGAACATAATTCGTTCCAGGAGGACGGTCGAGAACCGAATTGTTCGAGAACCGAAGCAATGAAACCAATAGGAAAGCGTGACTCCACAAAGCGTGACTCTCTCTCTGCACTCACACTGATGACGCAAGCAAGGCGCGCTGGGCCGAATGAACGCCATTCGGCTCATCTCGGAAGTTCGAGTTCCAAATATTTGTTCGGATTCTGAGACAAAAGTTTCTCGAATCTCCATTTGGTCGAAAACCGAGGCGTTCGAGAACCGAGGTATCACTGTATATGGACTTTGGTGATAATGACGTGTCAATGTAGGTTCATTGATTATAAAAAATGTTGGCCCTGGACTGTCTGGCTCAGTAGTTAGAGAGTCAGCCCGTGGACCAAAGAGTCATGGGTTCAATTCTGGTCAAGGGCATGTACCTTGGTTGCAGATCATCCCCAGCCCTGGTCAGGGTCGTGCAAAAGGCAACCAATCAGTGTTTCTCTCACAACTCAATGTTTCTCTCTCTCTCTCTGTCTCTCTCACCCCCTCCCATTCTATCTGGAAATAAATGGAAAAATATCCTCGGGTAAGGAAAAAAAAAAAAAAAAATGCTACTCTGGTGCATGATGTTGACAGTGGAGGAGGTTGCACATGGCGGGCAAGGAGTATATGAAATCTCTGTACTTTCTGCTCAGTTTTGCTGGGAACATAAAACTGCTCTAAAAAATAATCTTTTAAAAATATATATCAACTAAAAAATCTTTGGAAAATTATTTAAGCCTGCCCAGCTCAGTCTCTAGAGACCAATAATGTATGCCGTTATATAGCTCCTTAGCATTATCCTCCCGGAGTGTTCTCATAGCAAAGGGAAACACTTACTTGCACTACTTAATTTAATATTTGGATAAGCAGCTACCAATTGCCAAGCACTACTCCATCCTGCTCTCATGCAAGTTCCATTATGGTGGAGAAAATATGCAATAACGCACAAGAAATTAAGGTGTGAGAGATGACAAAATGGCGGCGGAGTGAATGGAAGCTACACAGATGATCTCCCAGGACCAAACTGGAATTACAACTAAAATACAGACAAATCGTTGAGAAAAAGCAATAGAAAAGCAGTTTGCGAGAACCATATAACCAGGGACACGGACTTGATCCTGGTAGGATTGCAGAGGCGCGAGATGGGGGCTGGGAGCCCACAGACAGCAGCGGCCTTAGCTGGGAACAATGCCCTCGAGTTACACTCCCAAGTGGCTCCACAGCCCAGAGCAGGGACAGAGGCTAAATTAGCCACAGCCACTCACCTTGGGCTCCGGCAGAGGGAGGGCAGACTGGACCGGAACTGTGTGCAGACACTTGGGATTTGGCGGGCACTCAGAGCTTTTGCTGAGTTGCAGCCACGCAGGATGGTGGCCATCTTACTCCTTCCCAGGGCTCTGGGGAGAGGCATGGCCCCTCCCTCGGAGATTCAACCCCACCAAGGTGGGCCATTGAAATGCTGCCCCACCCTCGGGAAATCCCCTTATGCTGAGCAACTGAAGGAGTTTTTCATTCAACTGAGAACCCAAGGCTCTTCAGGTTACCGCTACTGCTAGCCTCCAGGCAAAAAGCTAGAGGATAACTGAACCATTCCTGGGCTAGCAACTCTAACCAGGAAAGTAAGATCTGACAGTGGTGTTTAACGTGGATCCTCCCTCACTCATCCAAACCCAGGAGAGGGAGCCACAAACAGCAGAACACCAACACCCACAGGGAAAATTTGTCAGGCTCCAAAGCACACTGTGATAGCCAAAATGGTGAAACAAACAAACAAACCAAAAAAGCCAAATAAAATAAGAAGAGACCTCTACCCAAAATGAGATAACTGTGGAGCAGTTAAGCAAGTTAACAGCTATAATTCAGAGCCATGATCTTGAGGAAGCTCAACAGCATGAGTAAGAACATCAGCAACATGAGTAAAGACATAGAAATGTTGAAAATCAACCAATTTGAAATTAAAATCCACCAAGAAGAAATTAAGAATGACATATCAGAAATAAAGAACACATTGGAAGATCTAAACAGCAGAGTAGAGGAAACTGAGGACTGGATCAGTGAATTAGAAGACAGGGTAGAAAAAAATCAAACAATCAGAAAACCAAAAGAAAAAAAAACAATTAAAAAAACAGGAAGACAGCTTAAGAGAACTGTGGGACAACTGGAAACGTAATGATATTCGCATCATAGGAGTCCCTGAAGGAGAAGAAAATGAGCACGGGTTCAAGAAAATATTTGAAGAAATAGTGACAGAAAACTTCCCTAATTTGGTGAAGGAAGGAGGCATTCAAGTTCAAGAAGCATAGGGAGCCCCAAGTAAGAAGAACCCAAACAGGCCAACACCAAGACACATAGTAATTAAAATGCCAAATATTAAAGACAAAGAGAGAATCCTAAAAGCAGGAAGAGATAAGCAACAGGTTACCTACAAAGGAACCCCCATAAGGCTATCAGCTGACTTCTCAACAGAAACACTACAGGCCAGAAGAGAATGGCATGAAGTAACCAAGGTCATGAAAAACAAGGATCTGAATCCAAGACTACCCCACCCAGCAAGGCTGTCATTCAAAATAGAAGGTCAAATAAAAAGCTTCCCAGACAAAAAAAAAAGGCTAAGGGAATACACTAGCACCAAACCAGCACTACAAGAAATGTTAAAAGGACTGCTGTAATTAGCAGGAGAAAAAGGAAGAAAAATATAACCACACTAAACAAAAATGGCAATAAATAAGTACATATCAATAATCACCTTAAATGTGAATGGATTGAATGCTCTGATAAAAAGACACAGAGTAGCTAATTGGATAAGAAAGCATGACTCATCTATATGTTGTTTACATAAGACCCACCTCACAACAAAAGACTCACATAGGTTGAAAGTGAAGGAATGGAAAAAAAATTTTCCAACCAAACGGAAAGCAAAAAAAAGCTGGGGTAGCAATACTCATATCTGATAAAATAGATTTCAAAATGAAGGCCATAACTAGAAACAAAGAAGGCCACAACATAATATTGAAAGGATCTATCCAACAGGAAGATATAACCTGGGTAAACATATATGCACCCAATATAAAAGCACCAAAATATATTAAAAATCTTCTGGAGGACTTCAAAGGAGAAATCGACAGCAATACAATCATAGTAGGGGACTTGAACACCCCGCTGACATCACTGGATAGATCCTCTAGACAAAAATTTAGCAAGGAAGAACAGACTCTAAAAGGAGCACTAGACCAAATGAATTTAATAGATATTACAGAGAATTACATCCCAAAACTACAGAATTCACATTCTTCTCAAGTGCACATTGGACATTCTCAAAGATACACCACATGTTAGGACACAAACTAAATCTCTACAAGTTCAAGAAGATGGAAATCATATCAAGCATATTCTCAGATCACAATGGCATGAGACTAGAAATCAACTGCAACAAGAACATGCAAAAACATTTGAACACATGGAGGCTAAATAGCATTTTATTGAACAATGAATGAGTTACTGAGGAGATCGAGGAAGAAATTAAAAACTTCCTGGAAACCAATGAAAACACACAAAATCTATGGGATGCAGCAAAAGCAGTTCTGAGAGTACAGTTCATAGCACTACAGGCTTACCTGAAGAAACCAGAAAAATTTCTAATAGACTATCTAACCTCACAACTTAAAGAATTAGAAGGCAAACAGAAAACCCCAGAGCAAGTAGAAGGAAGGAAATAGTAAAGATAAGAGCAGAAATAAATGACATACGGACCAAAACAACAATTCAAAGAATCAGTGACACAAAGAGCTGGTTTTTCAAAAAGATAAACAAGATTGATGGAACCTTAGCTAGACTCACCAAGAAACTAAGAGAGAGAACCCAAATACACAAAATCAGAAATGAAAGAGGAGAAGTAACAACCGACACCACAGAAATACAAAAGATCATTAACAACTACTATGAACAATTATATGGCAACAAATTCGACAATCTAAGTGAAATAGACAAATTTCTAGAAACACACAGTCTCCCAAAACTGGACCAGGAAGAGATAGAAAACTTGAACAGACCAATAATAAATAAGAAAATTGAAGAGGTAATCAAGACTCTCCCAGCAAACAAAAGTCCAGGCCCAGACGGCTTTATGGGGGAGTTTTAGTGAACATTCAAAAATAAAAACTAACACCCATTCTCCTCAAACTATTTCAAAAAATTCAAGAAGAAGGAAGACTTCCAAACTCATTTTATGAGGCCAGCATAATTCTAATTTCAAAATCAGAAAATAACACTACGAAGAAAGAAAACCACAGACCAATATCCCTGATGAACATAGATGCCAAAATCCTGAATAAAATACTAGCA